TCTTTGTGCTTTCAGCTGTGAGTATGTAAAGAACCCTTTAGATATTCAAATAGCCAAAACACTTTGTAAATTTTAACAGAAGCCTTGATGCAAGTTCCCTGTTGCATTGAATATAAGCTGGATATTTTTTAGTTCCTAAATCTATGTTGATGAAAATATTCATATATTGTGAGATTTCAGAAGTAGTAACTTTTAGTTCTGAAAACTGTTGCCACAGTAGCTGAAAGCAATTGAAGACAATATGTATACCGGATTGTCTATTGTCTATTATTCTCCTATTTGAAAAGCTTAACAAAGAACCCAAACACTTATGAATACAGGGGTTAATTAAGTAAAATTAATACAAAATATTTGCGTGGGTTAGGACTTGGAAATTTCATTCATACCTGTGAATAACAATAGCCTTTGGAAGGCTGGGGATTTTTATTAATAAATTTCCAGACTCATAACTGATTCTATCTTTCAGGATACAGCCGTTCCTTTCCTATTTCTTTGCTTGCTTCATTCATTCATCACTGAAAAAATTTCCTCTGAATAAAAATCTGTCAAAGACATCTGCAAATATAAAAGTATGGTGGACTTATCACCCACATCTGGAGGGTATAGAAGTTCCAGAAGGCTCGTAGAGTGCAAACATTGACCTGAGTGTCTGAGCTTTGATACGTGGAGAAATAGCTTCTTCTAGAAAACCTGCTTGCCTTTAAAAGCCTATTCATGCCTAAAAGGATAAGAGATCTTGGCTCTGCCTTATTTAGAGATGGAAATTTCAGAATAAAGTGAGAGTTTTGATTATTTTTTATTTTTTTTTTTTTTTTGTTAAAGGCAGGAGGATAAGAAAAATACAAAATCTAGTTCATAGGTCATAACTTCTCAAGACCAAGTGCAAGAGGAATCTTGAAATACTTAGCACACAAAAGTGTAAGTTTTGTACTTTTTTTAGTACCTTCAGTCTGTTCCTGTTCACTTCTGGCAAGATTTTGAGAAGATGATTCTTTTGTGTAACTCATGAATGTTCATCTAAGTATATCTGTGTGTACGTGGGTCGTGAAGACAACAAAAACTATTTAAGACTTCTAACAAATTACAGATGGTAGAAAAGAAAGGTAATGGAACGAGATTCTTATGAATATTTCTTCTGTAGAGCAGTGGTGGTTGGGTGTTCTGATGTGGTGGGAAGATGAACTGGCAACTGAGCTGTTACTGTTAAGAAAATAAGAAATAAAACATTAAATACAAATTTGGTTTTGAAGATGTTTGAGGATCTGTTTTCCTTTATATACTTATCAAGACACGGTGTCGTTGCTCAAACAATATATAGCTTCTTCCACTTCAAAATTGACTCTTCAGTATACAGAAATCTCGCAAATAGTGCAGAACTGATTTTTATCTCCAGATTTGAACAAAATGGGGAGTGTGTGTGATCAGAAAGCTTGTTTTTTGGTCAGTAAAAAAATGTTTCTTTTGTACTTGGGGTACCTGGGTAAATTGTTTGGGAGCACTGAGATGTAAGAGTGGAAGAGGTAGAGTCTTCAAAGGTTTAATCGTTAAAAGGCATGGTTAATCTATATTTAAAACTCTTCATCAGTTTCCAAAGTAGGAAGTAATGTTGTAAGTCTGCATGAGAATTGAGGGAAAAATCCACAGGGTGTAAGCTGTGAAGTAATATTTGTGCCTTTGAAGTAAGAGAAAGGGGGACATGGGCCTGTGTACCCAAAGATTTAAGACTTGTCCCAATTCAAGTTTATCATTGCTGAGCTTTGGAATGAGATAAGCTTGTTTTGCTGATTTCATGACATTTTAAACCAGTTTTTGGTGGGCTTTGTATATACAGCACTGATATGGCTGTATCTAAATTCTTTCCCCGTATTACGCTTCCGTACAAATCATAACTTTCTTATCTCCTTAGATTCTTTTCAGTATAACAACAGTAAGTTGTTATACCATCTCAAATAAACACTGTCTTAAAAGAAAGTCAGCTTAAAATGGACTGAAAAGAGTAATAAAACAATAGGCTCTGCACTTCACCTCCTCTGTACATTTTAGGGAATTTAACAGTTGCACTGTTTAATGTTCAGAATGTTGAAATAATTTTCTTCGTGTGAAAAGCTCACACACTTTTGCAAAACTGTTATGCAGAACTCTGTTGTAATGAAACATAGCTCATGTTGAATACCACCCAATAGGTAAGTGGGTAAAACCTAATTTCTCTCCTTGTCTGAGTTTGTTTCATTGCTTGTAATTTTGTGTTCACTAGTGAGAAGAGGGTAATGTGTTGTATTGCAGTGTGTTGCAATAGCTGGATTCCACTAAACTTTAAACCTTGATTTGGAGGACTTTCTGAATGAGAAATTCAGTGATGGGTGGGTGAGCATGGAAAGGTCTAAGGTCCATCTTCTATAGCTGTTCAAAAGTAATTTTTCACTGGGATTAGAGGTGCCATTGTTGGGCTGTGATATATTGTGAATTCTTTGGTAAGTTTTTGTTATATATCCTTGATGTGAATTGAAAAGGCGAAGTTTTGTGGAGAAGGTTTTTTAATGAAGAAACAAGTGGTTATAGGAAAGTCCCTGACATGTTTTACTGTATCAAAAGGGTGATCATTCCTTTGAATTAGGAGGGAAACTGTTTCCTCTTGCAGTCTTTCTAAACTGGTTCACTGGGCCATAATTAAGATGAGAAGTAAAGGAGAGATGTTTCTTGGCTTTGAGGTATATTTTTGAGCTGTTGATTTAGAGCTTGAAGCCAATATAGGATTCTTACTCTCTGATTATTCTTGCTACAGCGAAACACTTAAGAATGACTAGGTATGTGGGTGTGGGAGCAGAAAATGACATCTGTCCCCTTGCGTGAGAGGCTTTTGCAAAATGTGTACCTGTCTTGGCTCTGATGATAAAACTATGTACCGTGCAGTGGGGAAACAAGCTAAGTATGCTCTGCGGGATTGTGTGTATGCACCCACACAAGATGCATGCCTATTATTTCCATCCAATGCACATAATTTAAATGTGTAGCTGGAAGGCAAACATTGCATGAGTTTTGTGGGTTTCGATGTTTAGCCTCAAAGGCTAATTTGTATATTATTTGAGCATTTTATTAATACCGGTTGCTAATTGCTTTGTTCTGAAAGCTTCAGCCTGCTCTCCTTTGTTAACAGTAAGAAACAGTTTTCTGCCTCATGTTCTGAACAAGCAGGAAAAATAATGGGCAGTGCTGGATGTGTGATGTCTCCAATGCTAAGTGGTCCACAAGACAGCTTCTGTGTTTTTTCAGAGAGGCTATGTACATTAGGATGTAGTCCTTGAAGGTATTGGAGAAGCAACTGGTCAAAATCAAGGTGTTGGTTGATAAGACTCACTGTTGCCTGTCTTTTCAGAGGAAACCACAAACCTCTTAGGCAAAAATACAGATCTTGAGGGGGAAGAGGAAGTCCTTTGCCTCTTCTTCTTTTTTTCCTTTTAGAATAAAAAAGAAAAATGGTCAAGTTAAAGGATTTTTGTCATTCCTTAGAAGTATGAAGATGAAATTATAAATGAACTTATAAACATTTTCAAGTATTTTGTCTGTTAATGTTCTATGGTGGTAAAAGTAATCTTTTTTTTTTGCATAGGACTTGAATATATTAAGTCAATACACTTGTTATCATCTGAGGTGTCCTTTTTATAGTTGTAAAGCATCAGTAGGTGTAGGTAAGAATACCTATAATTTCCATAGGCAAACACAGAGTATATCTAGAGAGGAAAAAAAATATTTCCATTCATGTTCTTTTGAGAAATTGAAGAGGGAGAAAGTATTGCTGGAATGGAATGAGAAGTAAGAGAATGCACAGCCGAAGCAAGTGTTTTTTTTTCCAAGAGGCAGGATCTTCCTTACAGTGGTTAGAAAAGGTCAAGGCCAGATAAGAAAAACAAAACCAAAAACCAAAAGCAAAACAAAAAAACAGCGGACTTCATGGAAAAATCGTATTGCAGTGTTTTGCTGCTACGTTTTACTCCCAAAATAGATGTTACTGGCTGACTGTTATTCCTTTTTGGAATCAAAATATGCTATTGGTCTTTTTTGATACTGCATTTGTATTTCTGTGCCTTTGGGACCTGTGTGTGCAGAGCAGTGGAAGCTGTGACTGCAGGCATGCATGGGTATACCTGAACCAGTTTGACTTGAACAGTTTAGGCCCTACCACCAGGACAGCCAGAGGATTTTCAGCACAGGCTGTGTGCTCAGGCCAGTGTGGCCTGTGTCCCGGGTGGGGAGCTGTGTTGCTGTGACTCCCCAGCCAGCAGTACCCAGGCAAAGCAGGTTCAAGCTAGCCCGGGAACATCAGCTCTCTGCTGCAATCTTGCCTGAAGGCACAATCAGCTCGACCTACAGTTCAATGAAAGCTCTTGCAAAGAAATGAAGCTATGGACATGAGAAGCAGGAACCCTGATGGGTCCCTGGAGCAGGTGCAGGCTGCTAGAAGGGAATTAAGCTAATGCTATGCAATAGATGTGCTGGGCGAAGAAGGGGAAAAAAAAAAAAAAAAAAAAAGGCCCCAAAACACGTATTTAAAGGGGGAGAGTGACATCTGGTGGGCTCAGCATGCAACTCCACCAGCGAGTGAGTGTTGGCCGCTTCATCTGTAGTGTAAGAGTCCGTTTTAACTGCTGCTTTGTCCTGGTGCCTAGAAGTAGTGATATATAAACATGCAGCTGGTTGGTATTTGAATGTTAAGCTGTAACAAACTCTTCTGGGATGGCATGATGAAACACTGTGTGTAGTCAATGTGCAAGGTAACTTCTGTATTTCGGAAGGTCCTTAGGAGAGTATCACTAAGTGAGGTTAAGAGGCTTCAAACCAGTCATGCCTGCTGCAAATCAAGCATGAACTTCTGTTTCTCTTTGCACCCCTGAATATTAAGTGTGAACTTTGCGGTTTTCTTGGTCTGCGTTTAAACCAGGGTGTTTTATAGGGGCTTATACAAATCTGTCTAATTGTTTCTGTTTTCTTGTCTCCTGCTGCAGCAGCCAGCAGAGCAGCCAGCAAAGCAGCCACGATGATGACTCGTCACGATTCTTGAGCCCTTGCATGCGTGACGACAGGTAAGTCTGTGTGTGGCTGAACTGGGGGAATGCCTGGAACCACTCGGTGAAATTACATGGGCTGGCCTGGTTGAAGTCTTTATTTTTCCTTTTTTCTCAGAGTTGTTAAACAAGAAATGTGATTTGTTAGTCTTGTCAATGTCTGAAAAGGTGCATCTTTAAAAGTAGAATTTATGGGACAAATGCATCCCAATCCTCAGCCTGCATTTACTTTTGAGACTCCTTCCCCAAAACTGTAGCTGGTGTAGATAGCTTCATCAAACTTGCTGTGTATTGATAATTAGCAGCTCAGATAATTAAAAATGCATAAGTGGATTTTTGTATGTGGTTCTTGTCTTCAGCAAAGACAATATTGAGCTTGGCTGTTGGATTTCACTTCTGATGTGCTGTGACACTCCTGAGATATCTAGTGCTCGTGTAGAGCAGCTAGGTGAGAGCTGCTATAAGGTTCCAGAAGCAACTTAAGTTTCTTGTACTTCGGGTTGATTAATGACTGCTTCAAATTGCAGCATTGGCACAAATGGTGTTGAAAAATGAATGCTTGTTTTTGTGCATGATTTATTATTGTTGCTTTGCTCAGAGCCGTGTGATTAAGATTTCTGCTGTTTTGTGAAGTTCATCTTTTGAGCCTCAATCTACCTAATTTTCTTCTGCTGTGCATGAACTACTGAGCTACTACCACTTTTCTATCCTGGGCTGGTTCCTGCAGACCCATTTCTCTATTAACATCCTTGGGTCCAGTGTTACCTTTGGACTTTGTGTCTGAAATTCCCATTATTTTATTACTGAATTGCACACCGGAGTTACGTTGCATTTTACTTAGCTGATCCTGTAACTGGGAGTTATAGTGAGCCCGCAGGAGTGCATATGCTGAATTTAAGAGCTACTTTATTTGTGTTTCTGTGTCATGGATTACAAAAAGCATTGGAATGTAACATCTTCCACTCTGCATGCTTGTATCCAGGCATGGTCCCTTAAAAGAGTATTGTTTCAGGTCTGCTACTCAACACAAGTTGTCTCTGAGGTCAGAGGACTTCCTTTCTAACTGTGTAGTAGGGCAAATACCTTCTGAAATCAGATTCCCCCCTATGATGTTGAAGGCCAATGGGGTGAGTAAGAACTGAGTAGGCATCTGAGGAATTGACTCACTTGAGAGAACATTCTGACCCTGAAGAGCTGATTAATAACCCAGGAGAGTTTGGCTCAGAATTAGCACGTGGTAGTTGCAGCTAACCTTTTCCTCCATATGTTTCACTCCAATTATCAGTCTCTTTGGCACTGTGGAGCCTAGCATAATTGACTAGCAGGGAGTGGTGTTTGCAACAAGAAAATAAAGTATCTGACAACAAGCAGATGGGTATTTAAGTCTTAGTTGGGCTTCCTCTGTGTAATGGTGTTACACCACTTGGTCTGGGGTTTCGTAGGTTAAACGGGGTTAGGCTTCATTAATGCTCAAATGGGGGGTGGTTCTGGGCATAGCAAGAAGGGAATCTTTTTGAAGTGCTGCCTGTTTCAGATGCAGACTAAACCAGAGCCTTCAGACTGGCGCTAAGAATATCTTCTTGGCCGGAAGGGATATGTTTTAGGTGCAACACAATCAGATCTCAGACCTATTTACACAAAGCCAGGGTGATGGTCAGCCTGCTGACCTCTCTTACTGGGGACCTGCAACATTCCTCCTGCCTAGATTTAATTACAAGTAACTTCTGTTGTGATGGAGGATACTGATCCAAAAATGATCCATACGAGGGCTAGTAAATTGCCTTTGCCATTTTTTTTTTTTTTTTTTTTTTTTTTTTTTACTCCGTTGCTAATGTAATTGCATCAGGCTTCACTGGTATACTCTTCATTTGGAATATTGGTGGCTTCTGCTTATGGAACTTAAGCAGAAAATAACTCATATACTTTGAGTTTTATGTAAGTTGTGAAGCTGGACATAAATTAACATGAAGGCTAACAAAACATTTGAGAGTTTGCTATTTACTATTCCTGTTAACAAAGTTGAAGGTTGTTTCTGAGGTATCTTGAATCTGCTAGACTCTTGAAAACTCAATGAGGAGCGTCTGTCTTTACTGGTTTTATGGTGGTATTTTTGACCAGTAACAGACGGTTCTCCACCCACAGGTCTGGACCTCTCTGCTTCTGTTACAGACCTGCAGGCAGCTCTGTTAACTTCACCAGGTGACTACTGTGCAGCAGCTCTTAAACCCAAAAAACCCAAACAAAACCACAACCACCCAGGGTTTCGACAGTCCTGTAAATTTGAGGAAAGCTGAGCAGGGTAGAGCAGGAAAGGGGAGAAGGAGAAACCATGTGGTATGTACTGAAAGGTGCACCTGCTCTTGGCATGCTGCCTCTATCACAGGCAGAAGGAGCTTGTGTCGCACTTGGAGGATGAGAGCAGAGAGCAAGTGAGGATCTGCACCAACCCCAGTACATCTGGGAAAGTGCTGAAGGAAGCTACCCCAGGCAAAAGGAAAGGGATGCTGAGTTGCTAAGTTGACTCTGGAACAAAAAAAGAGGAATACGTAGCTGAGGATGGCTGAAATCTATATTGGGCATAGCCAAGATCTTAACTGCATGCCTGCTCTTCCTGTAAAAGATGGTACCAAGGTGTCCTGCTAGCGGAGTTAACTTCAGTGACTGATTTCTAAGGACCATGCTGCAGCCCTCATGTCTTTCCGGAGAAGACTGAGAGTTTTGTCCTGCTGCTGGCAGATGCATTTGGTGCTCTGTAGCAATTCTTTTTCTTGAGGTGTGAGTGCTGCTGTTGGCTTGTGTGTTGTGAAATACTGCCATGGTCCAGAACCCATACCCTGAAAAGGTGTCCTGCAGCACAGCAGTGAAGCAGGTCTGCCATCTGCGTGTAACTTCTCTGAGGAAAAAGCTTCCCTTCCGCAGAATCATGTAAGTTGTCATGTGTCTGTCATGCCTGTCTATGATGAGAGGGAGCCTATGCAGATTTTATTTTCTCTTGGGGTAGCTATGTGCTTCACGGGTGTTCTTAGAGCCACAGAAGGGAGAAGTTAGTGGGATCGGATAGAAAAAGTGTAGTTAGTAGGATGGGATAGAAAGAGTGAGGTTTTTTATTAATTTAGGGCTCAGTTTCTTGTTCTCTGCCTGGGTGAGTTTGAGTTGTTCATTATTGCTTTTTTATAAAATAAGGAGAATTCCTTTTTTACCTCACAAGAAAACAGAGGTGGTGAATTAAGTCTGAATTGCTCAGATGACAGAACACCATAACTGCATAAATACAAGGACAGGCAGAGCTGAGTTTGAGTGTTCAAATAGTTGTGCTTACAATAGCAGCTTGTCTTAAAGTAATTAAAAGGGGGTGGGTAAGGTTGAATGGAGACAGCCAGAGACTTGGGTGAGATGTGTGCACATAACAGATTCCATAATCACTCTAATGAGACAAGATTATGTATGAATTACCTTGAGCTTTTGTTTAGATTAAGTCCAAGTTCATGAGGCTGCTTTCTACTTGATCGAAGGACTTGCTCTTTGTCATGACCCTGGGGCACCAATTAGGTTTAGAGTACACACTAGCTTTTAATTAAGAGCAAAAATTAAGCTACTGAACTAGAGGAAAAATCAGTCCTTAGACTTGTACTCAGTCTAAGGAGGAGTCAAACTGCTGGAGGAGAGCATGGAAAGTACAAGGATGGAAAGGAATAGGCTATGGGGAAACATGGGGAGAGTATTGAGTGACAGTTTGCAAGAGATCATATAAAAATGTTTTACATTAAAAATTAAATGTAAATCAGGATGATTTATGTGAGAAATGAAAGAAATTGAGAAGAGCCGTTAATTTTAAGATGAGTTTGATATGTCCTGCACCTAGACTTATAATTTAATTCGTCCCTTAATGTGTGCAGTACTTTTTTCTGTTAGTTCCAGGGCTGCAGGGCTTGTTTTTCCTTTGCATAAGCTGATAAGCGTTTCTCAAATAATGGATCAGAACTCACAAAAGAGAGCTTGCAAGGAGATTAGGGACCAGTTTAAGACATAAAAAAGCTTAAGAAATTGTTGGCTGCTTGGATTCCCAGAAAGTAGTGCAAAGATCAGAAAAGAGTTTAAACTTTGAAAATGTGCCAAAATGATATCCTTGGTGTGTGTGTGTGAGGGTCAGGAAAAATTTCATACTTCATGTACCCAGGGCTTGGTTATGCTGCATCTTCCTAGGCTGCGCCCCTTTCCCCATGATACAAAGAAGTTGCCGCTAATGTCCTGTGCCCTTGTTTTGCCTGCAAGTGGAGGCACAGCAAAGATTGCTACCTCTGCAGCTTCAGGGAGAGTGGAAGTTTTTTTCCGTTGCTCAGGGCAGCTGAAGAGATGAGAACTGAGAGCAAAACGTGGCTATGAATGCCGGGCCCATTCTTGAAAGGGGAGGGTAGGGGCAAACAGAGCCCAGGGACCCTTGTTTGTGTGTCTGGATGTGATGATCCTGTGAGGAACAGAGTGCAGTAGCTGGTTATGGTAACTCATGTGACATGGTGCAAGCCTCCTCCATTATTAAGGAGAAGCACTTACTGGAGTAAGAGGGAATGGATGCTGTTTTAAAGGTGATGATTTAGTGCAAGCCAGCAGCAGCTTTCTAGTATGAGTGTAAAATTTGGGGACACTAGCTTGCTGCTCTTTCCAACAGTGCTAGATGTAAGGAATGCCTGAATTTTGAGTCCTTGGTAGGAACGGTTCTAATACTAGTCAAATTCCTGAGTAGCTTTTATCTATCACAGATGGATGCCTGATGCATCATCTTCAGGGGTGTTTTCAAAAAGTGCTAAAGACCCTGTTATGGAGAAGGCTTGGAGGTTAATGAGCTCTGGGAAGGTCCCAAACCACAAGCCTGATGCTCTTGTGATAACTTTAGGGTGAGTTTGGATATGGATCTAGCTCCAAACTCCAATTCAGTTGGACTTAACACTAAATAGAAAGTTTACCCAGAATGGCATGTCTCCTTCGTCATGTAGGAAAGTTGGTTAATATTTAAATTCAGA